AATGAAGGCGTGGATGGGCAAGTGCCTTAAAATCATCCGTTGTCCGGTTACCTCTGAGGAGTGAGCTCAGAGGAGATGTGCCCCTGCCCCATGACAGCCCCCTGGCATCCTGGAGGGGGAGAGAGAACGGGACCCAGGGCTGGGCATCTTCACGCGGGGTTAAACCAGATATTGCTTCACCGGCCGCGTCTGCTCTCGATTGCCGTTCTTACCACCGTCTGCCCAGATTTTAACCTTGGCCTGTATTCGAAGGTGAAGTGATTGGTTACTCCTTTTTCTTTCTTTTTTTTTTTGCAGATTCTGACCCTGCAAGATAATGAGAGGGTTTCACTACCTTCATTTAGTCAGGACTAGGCTCAGGGTTGGGTTTGAAGCACAGGTGAAATTGTTTGTTTACTTGGAGTTCAGGCTTAAACTAAATTCCAAATAGAATTGTTGAGACTAGGCAGAACTTAAAAAACACGGACTATATTAGACTTCTAGGGTCAGGTAACCCAACTCTTGAGTTCTGTAATAATGGTGCTATTTTGTTTGCTCTGGGTTTTTTCCTTCTTGGAATGAGAGGACATAAAACTTTCTTCTCAAGGTACTATTAGCTCAATTTTAGATCTTCTTGGTTTCTTTATACACAGTAACTGATAACCACAAGTCTGTTAGAAGAGAGGCTCAGCAGCTGAAAATTTGGGAAGTATTTCGAACCAGACGTCAGTGAGTTTATTTTTTCATAATTGCAGTATTGAAGTGTATGGGTTCAGGTTAGTGCAATAATTGGTCAGAATTCAAAATAAATACTATAGAGCGTATTCATTTACATGGTTAATGTACTCACTACCAGAGTTCAGTTTGGAGAAGATATGTGTCTGTGCATATGCATATATATGTATTTATATTTATATACTTGGATACATATTTTTAATTTTCTTGCTTTATTGAGGCACCAGAGTAAAGCTTCTAACTTACAGCCTTTCTTTTCTGATGATAAAACAATTGAAAAGACTTTCTCAGTTTCCTGCTTTTGATGTCAGGATTTTGTGATTTGTTTGGCTATGAGGAAAGAGGAAAGCATATGCTTTCTTTTCTATTTGAAGATGCAAGCTACCTGGAGATGGCAGTGTAACATGTAGACCGTGTGACATGTGACAAACTTGCCTTTGGGACATCAAAGTTCCTAATTGCTACAAATATCAGACTCGCTCTTGAGAATGGTTAGTAAGCCAGGACAAGCGAAATAGGGAAATGGAAACTGATAGTTAAAAAAATCTAGATAGATGCCAAGAAGTTTTGCAGCCATCTGGTAAATCCTATCTTTCCTGAACCAAGGACACTTCTCCTCCCCAGCCAGAGGGTAAATAGCTTAAATCAACCCTACTCAGGAAGACAGCAGAAATCCAATTAGTGCCATTTGCCAACCATACCCAAGGACAGATGAAGTTAAGAGGGTAAATCTAATTTTGATACATTAGCATAAAGCTGATGAATATTCTATTGAGATCCTCCCCTAAGACCTCCTATAAATGCCCAGCCTTTAAAACCCCTCAAAACGTAGGTCCAAAGCATGCTCTCCCTCCCAGGACCACCCCTAGCCTTTCTCCTCCCCCTCTTCTTTCTCCACAGGCAGGCAGTCATCTCCTGAACTCTAAGGGACCCCATGAGGCTTGCAACTAGGCAGGAATGGGCAGTGGCAGTTCATCCCAGGCAAGCCCCCTGAACCTGTCCCCAAGGCCCCCTTTTCTCAGACTTCTTAGCGAGCCAGAGTAGCCTGGCCTAGCCTCAGTTCCCCAGCCCTTTCTTGCTTCATTGTCCCCACCTTTAATAAACGTCCTCTAAAATTCACATCACCTGGACTCATGCTGTGAAATTTCTTCTGCACGAAGTCAAGAAGTCACACACTACTGGCTGGCCCTAGGCAGACCTGCTCAGGGCCAGGTCCCCTTTCCGGTAACACTCTCAGCTCAGTAGCTGTTTGGCTTTAATTTTACTCAGTTTTCCTAAAGTGCCATGTCTGGTTTCGGAAAATGTTATGGAATGAGAGGTGAGGTGTAGTAAGTAACAGAACACCTTATTTTGATTAGAATGGTCAAGAACTAATAATGTTATGGAGAAGTAATCCAAGTACTTTTCTTTGGGAGAGCTAATGATGGGGTATCAGGGTAGCTTCATGTTTTGACTAGGGTGGGCCTGGGGCTTGGGGAGAGGAGGGAAGGGTCCACCCTGGCTTGAGGGAGAAACCAAGGCATTGTATTAGTTTGCTAGGACTGCCATAACAAAATACCACAGACATTAAGCAACAGAAATTTATTTTCTCACAGTTCTGGAGGCCAGAAATCTGAGATCAAGGTATCAGAAGGGTTATTTCTTCTGAGGCCTCTCTCCTTGGCTTATAGATAGATGGCTGCCTTCTCCCTGTGTCTTCACAAGGTGTTTTTTCTGTGTGTCTGTGTCCTAATCTTTTCTAATAAGGACACCAGTTACATTGGATTAGGCTCCCACCCTTATGAATTCATTTAACCTTAACTCTTTAAACGCCCTGTCTCCATATACAGTTGACACTGGGGGTTAGAAATCTATAACACAGGTCTGCCCCATGGAAATCATAGCCAGTTTATTTTAGAACTCTGACTGGGCTCTTTTCACACAGTGAATTGATTTTCAAATTTCAGATTCCCAGGGAGGTTTTCCTTCTGTCTGTATTGGTTGTGTCTACTTTGTCAGTCTCTCATTCATTCCAAAATGTTTTCCACTCCCACCATTCACTGAGGCTGTCCTTGTCAAGGTCAGTAACAAATGGTTTCCATATTGCCAAGTCTGTGGTCACTTATTAGTCCCAATTGTACTCAACCGCTTATACAAGTGAGCATTCTTTCCATGAAGCATTTCTCTTGGCTTTTGTACACATACTTTCATGGTGTTCTTCCTACCATTGTGGCTAATTATTTGTCTTTTTCTGGCTTCTCATCCCCTAGAATTTCTTAATTTTTTTAAAAATCACAGTTTACAATAGGAAATACATTTTACATTGTTTCCAGTACATTCATAAGTATATAAATTGCATATATCAATCAATTAACATATACATCTATATACTTATCTATGAAATAAAAATTCTATGGAATAGTGCTTGCCCTCAGTCCATGAGATGCATGCTATTTTCTATTATATTTCTATAATTTACTATGTTATAATGCAAATATATATTTCTGTTTTCAGTTTCTTTCCTTTAATTCTCTATATGATATTTATCTAGTCCTAGAGACTCAAATATTAGCCAACTAACTAATGACTAAAATTGATATATTCAGGTTTCATTTCTCTCCTCCCTCCCAGGCATGTGCATCAAACTTTTTTTCCTTAAAGAAATTTTTAAAGTATTGATTTGAGAGAGAGAGAAGGAGAGAGAAACATTGACTTGTTCTGCTTGCTTATGCACTCTTTGGTTGCTTCTTGCATGTGCCCTGACGGGGCATCAAACCCACAACCTTGGCGTATTGGGATGACGTTTTAACCAACTGAGCTGCCTGTCCAGGAAAGCTTTTTTTCTTAATATCCCCACTTGGAGACCTAATAAGTAACTCAAATGAGTACAGATGGTCCCTAATTTATAATAGCTCAATTTAGGATTTTTTTTACTTTCTGCATTTGCAATGGTGCAAAGGCCATATGTATTCAGTAGAGACTGTACTTCAGATTTTGGATTTTTATCTTTCCCTGGGCTAGCAGTATATAGTTGGATACTTTTAGAAGTTCAGCAGCACAGTGAGCTGCAGTTCCCAGTCAGCCACAAGGGCATGAGGGTAAACAGTTGATCACCAGGGTAAATCACTGGTACTCTAAAAGTGTACTGTGCTGCGTTTTTTGGATATTGTATTTTGGCATCCCATCATGTCTACAAAATGTCCATCTGTGTCTCCTGCCACTGGAGAAGAGGAAGGCAATTACCCTTGATCACATTTAAGGTGGGCCGGGCTAAGCTGTGATATTCGGTAGGTTAACTTAATTAAATGCATTTTCAACTTACGATGGTTTTTTTTTTGGACATAAGCCCATTGTAAGTCGAGGAGCATCTGTACATCTAAAAACAAAACTCTTGATTTATACCACCTGTCCGTCCTTTCCATCTCAGATGTTACCAGCAGCCAAGGACTTGGGTGTCATCCTTGGTTTTGCCGTTGCTTTGCTTTCCAACCATCTTCCCTTACAAATAACCACTCCATCTGGAAGTCCAATTTTATCTCTTTAAAAAATCTGAAATATGTTCTCTTCATGCCTACCAACATCTTCATTTTTGGCTTGTCTTAGTTTCCTAATTAGTGTTTTTTCATTCCCTCTTTTCTTTATAATCTACTTTTCACATACTGGTCAGACTATTTTCCCCGAAAATGTTTTCTCAAAAGTTTTGAACAAAAGAAGTAAAGTTTAAAAGTCAGTAGTGCTAGCTCTGGCCAGGTAGCTCAGGTGGTTAGAGCATCATCCTGATATGCCAAAGTTTTGGGTTTGATCTCTGGTCAGGACACATACAAGAATCAACCAATGACTGCATGAATAAGTGGAACAAATTGATATATGTTTCTTTCTCTCCTCTCTCTCTCTCTCTTCCTCCCTCCCTTTCTCTAAAAATCAATAAAATAAAAAAATTTTAAAAGTCATTAGTGTTACCAGAAAGGGGACCTGACCCCTGAGCAGGTATGCCTAGGGCCAGCCAGTAGTGTGTGGTTTCTTGACTTTGTGCAGGAAAAATTTCACAACACAAGTCCAGGTTAATTTCAGAGGACATTTATTAAAGGTGGGGACAATGAAACAAGAAAGGGCTGGGGAGATGAGCCTACGCTGGG